TATTTTTGAAGGAGTCGTCTTTTTGTTCATCATCATATAAGTTCTTCTTCTGAATAAGTCTCTTTCCGGAACATGTGAATGATCGGGAGAAGAGAGAAACTGGAAAAGAAGGATGTACGACAAAAATGACAAATAAGAGAAAGAATGTGTGGAGAGCATATGCGCGATAAACCTCGCAAGGATAGGTCAACTAATTTCGCCAAAACAAGATTAGATGGAAGCACATTGGACCAATATCTGTGGAATAATATCTACATAGAGTATCTACAATGAGAGATTCAGGTGTGTTTCCTTGTTATGGGTTCTAGAGTACTTCTAAAAGGATGTATCCCACTTGGTTAATTACATCTTAGGGGTTGGCTAAGAATACTCTTGATCCAAAAGAGTTTTTCTTACAATAGTAGTGACAATTAGCACAGAGCTATGAAAGAACATTTATTTCACAGGGGAATGCTCCGATGCTTTCAAAGCTCCTGCTAGGCCACAGGGCGGAGAGTGAGTCTTTCATAGTTCCATATGGGCAACAGACTCATCGACATACAGAGCTTACAAAATAAGCAAATCATCCAATAAGGGTATCCTAATAAGTTAAAGCACATCTAAGTCATAAGGATAGAGGAAAAATCTTCGTATCCCAAACGGGCGGCAGCTCGTCGGTAATCAAGTTATCAAGTTGATACCAACAAAGGTAAAAGAAGCAATAGAGCTCAAAGTGGGCAGTCAAAAGAAGGGATGAGTGATCCCTAACAGATATAGATAGCCAGGTTGAGGCACCACAGACTTGTCATCCCAAGCTACGAGGACACTAAGTCTATCTGGTCGTGAAGGTAGTCGACCCAACACGTTCAAAAATCTCCGATCAGCAATCCATGAATGGTGTCATCCACAGGAACCTCTTTTACCCTAAGGTCAACGGAATGAAACTCTATCATATGATTATCAGGTGGAGTTCCAAGAGGCGGGACTTGTACTCGCTGAAGTGGTTAAAATGCCGCTGGAAAGGAAGAGAAGAGGAGGTTTAACTACAAATCTAGAAATGATCCTAAGAAAATCACTTGCATCGTGTCTGGGTATGAGAGCCTTCTAACAAACTAAGTGCACTAAATAAGCATCTAAGTAGAAAGCTATGTTGAGCCAGTTAGGTTGGAGAAGCACATGGACTTATCATTGGGACATATATAATGAATCAATTATCTATTCAAGTCCTAATATGGAGGTCCTTTTAGTATGACTTAGGTGATATCCATGCTTGTAACCCATTTAGAATCTGACTTGAAAGCCGTGCAGGAAAGTAAAAACAAATTATAAAATGTTTAAAGCTTTTAATCCTAAATTTTAATTTATCTTGAAATTTTTATTAGGATTTATAAAATATTTTTAATTTTAAGGTCCTTAATGAGCCTAGATTATGAATTTCGTAGTATCCCAAATAAAACATAAAAATATAAGAGAAAACAATTCAAGCATGCAAACATACAAGAAAGAGAGTAAACAAGCCAAAAACAATAACAGGTCGGTGTCGCTAGGCCAACAACATA